CATGTGATGCTTACTGCTGAACCAAGAGAAAGGAGGAAAAGCCAAGGGAATGACGAGCAGGCAGGGAGATATCTACTGGGTCTGCTCCAGGGCTTTGTCCATCTAAACCCTCTCCTCTGCAGTGTCATCCTAAACACGACGATGTGACTGCTTCATTAAAGTCCACACTGGCTTTATCTAGGCCACAGAGTTGAAAAAGAAACAGGTGCATCCGAGTTCTTCCTCACTAACTTTTAGTATAAATAAATGGGATGCGTCAGTGGCATTGCTAAAAAAGAGGTTCTCAGTCTTTCTCAGTGTCAGTGCAATCAAAGGATGAGTATACATGGCTCATGCTCACACAGCATGGGTAGTGTGCAACCACTTAGCAAACGTATACCACAGTGCTTCCTAAATACCCCCATTCTAAACCATGTTGCCCCTGTGATAATTGAGAAGAGAGTGAGTCTCACAGTGTTTGACAAAGAGCAATGATTCCCTTCAATGTTTCTGATCAGTGGTCACAATAGGTTGTACAGAGAATGGAATGGCAATTCTCCCGCTAAAAGCAACACAATTGAGTGGCTCAAGAGGTCAAGGACAATAGTCTTTTGTACCCAGACTCGTAGGCTCTCTTCCTCAGGGGCACCGCTGTTGAAAGCGTCTACCTCCACAACAATGTATAAATCAACTCCCATTGAGTGCCCTTGCTGTTCAGTGCCCCCCAAAGAGCCTGTGGACCAGGGTTCCCCAACTGACGGCCCGCGGGTGGCTTTATTTGGACATAAAAGACTATAAAAACACCAGGAAATGAGCTCCAAGTCATTTTAATTGAATAAATCTGTTCCCAAGTATTCCCACACATAATAGAGAGACGCGATCGTATACAAATGTAAGCAAGGTTTGAAATGTTTATGTTTTAGTCAAACATCATATCTGTTTGGGCTTCTTGCAGTCAATTTGCGGTCTACAAATTATTTGTAATTATAAACTGGGTGGTTCGAGCCCTGAATGCTGATTGGCTGACAGCTGTGGTATATCAGACCGTATACCACGGGTATGACAAAACATTTATTTTTACTGCTCTAATTAAGTTGGTAAACAGTTCATAATAGCAATAAGGTACCTCGGGGGTTTGTGGTATATGTAAATGTAAAATGTAAAATATGGCCAATATACCACGGCTAAGGGCTGTGTCCAGGTACTCCGCGTTGCGTCGTGCTTAAGAACAGCCCTTGCCGTGGTATAATTGATATGGTATATTGATCATGTACCACACCCCCCCCCGGGCCTTATTGCTTAATTATGTTCCGGCCCCTCGACTATCCACTTAAGAAAAAAATCGACCTACGGCTAAATCTAGTTGATGATCCCTGTTGTAGACTGTAGGTTTCCTAACCATAGAATAATTGCTTGGCATGCAATGGTCTGTACAATTTCCATACAGAGGGAGGAAGTTCACATAACAGCCCCACTGTGAAATGACACACAGTGGCGGGTTTAAAATACACCTGGGCAACAGACATTTACATGCTGTACAGTGTGTTCTGCATAGTACCGTGCTGTATAGTGTGTTCTGCATAGTACCATGCCTGTACAGTGTGTTCTGCATAGTACCGTGCTGTATAGTGTGTTCTACATAGTACCGTGCTGTATAGTGTGTTCTGCAAATGTACAAAATACAACTACTTTTCCAGACAACCTGCTGCTGTATTCATAATCTGTGTGACTGTGACTACAGTATATTAATGCAGAGTACACTGTGTACATTGTGGAACCATGAGACATGAGACGAACAAGGCATTCACTGTTTGCAACTGACTGAAAACACTCTCATATCCAGTGAAAATACAGTTAGAGACATCAACTTTCATGGCCCATCTGAGACCCCCCCTCTTAACTTATATCCCCAGAACAGGGACCTGGTCCTGTTGCTTTTCAGTGACTAGGAAAACAACCGTCCCCCGTAAACAACATATCTATTCATAGATAATTTCACAACACAAGTCCCTCAGTGTTCATTTGGAACTGCGTGAGTACTGCCTAGTGCTGGTATGCTGGGCCTCAGTGTAGATCTACAGCAAGGCTAAATCCATCCCATGTAGCCTCCTCTAGGCCTGCTCTCTTACTTAGATCATCAAATGGTGCAACAGCTGGACAGATCTGAATAAGAAGACCAGTCACATTAGACAAGGACTATGAAAAGTATCTCAAACTATCTGGGGGATACAACACACACACTCTCTACAAAGAATAATACGTTGTTTTAGTTTTAGAATTCCCATTGATGCATTTGAATACTTGCATTCTCCTGTTCTTTAACTCTCATCGTAGTCCTTGTGTGATTTTTTTATTCTTACTTGAATTTATTTTTCTGTTGTTTGTTGTTGTTATTATTACTATGATCACTGCATTGTTGGGAAAAGGCTTTCAAGATAAGAATTTCACTGTGCTGTTTTACACCTGTTGTATCCTGTGCGCGTGGCAAATAATCTTTGAAACTTTAATGTTCCCCACATTACTACAATGAAAAGTACAAGCCAAACATTTGTACCTGACATGTCTTCCTATCTTATTTCCGCTCCTCCCTAATGATGTAATAAAATCACAACTCTGCCTTCAAGTTTGAGATGATAGGTGACAGATTTCGTTCCTGTCTAAACAAACTGCAGGTTGTAAACTACATAGCATCATGGGAAATCACTTCACAAAGACATTATGACAGACAGATCATTTGGCAAGTCCTATTCGTAGAGATAACCAAATATATATATTTGTTATTATTCACTTCACGATCCACAACTCCATATTTTCACAGTAATGCTGATTTCTGAAGCGTTGGCTATTTTGACAGACTTAAAAAAACAGTCTCACTACTCCCCCTGGTGTGTGAATGCTGACATCTTGGCAAGGCTTGTGGGCGATGCCAGAGAAGTGGTGTGGTATTTCAGGCTTGACTTGCACATCCTATTGACTGTGACACAGATTTTAAGATAGCCTTTTGAGAATCAATGAAAAAGGGAAGTAGTGCTAGACAGTGAGATGAAACTGATTGTCTCTGTTTGGTTTCATTGAACACAACAACAATGCTGTCTATACTTAATACCTTCATAATATACCATTTAGCAGACGCTTTTATCCAAAGCGACTTACAGTCATGTGTGCATACATTTTTACGTATGGGTGGTCCCGGGGATCGAACCCACTACCCTGGCGTTACAAGCGCCATGCTCTACCAATTGAGCTACAGTCTGTTGACATGTACAGTGAGGGAAAAATTAATTTGATCCCCTGCTGATTTTGTACGTTTGCCCACTGACAAAGACATGATCAGTCTATCATTTTAATGGTAGGTTTATTTGAACAGTGAGAGACAGAATAACAACAAAAAAATCCAGAAAAACGCATGTCAAAAATGTTATAAATTGATTTGCATTTTAATGAGGGAAATAAGTATTTGACCCCTCTGCAAAACATGACTTAGTACTTGGTGGCAAAACCCTTGTTGGCAATCACAGAGGTCAGACGTTTCTTGTAGTTGGCCACCAGGTTTGCACAAATCTCAGGAGGGATTTTGTCCCACTCCTCTTTGCAGATCTTCTCCAAGTCATTAAGGTTTCGAGGCTGATGTTTGGCAACTCGAACCTTCAGCTCCCTTCACAGATTTTCTATGGGATTAAGGTCTGAAGACTGGCTAGGCCACTCCAGGACCTTAATGTGCTTCTTCTTGAGCCACTCCTTTGTTGCCTTGGCTGTGTGTTTTGGGTCATTGTCATGCTGGAATACCCATCCACGACCCATTTTCAATGCCCTGGCTGAGAGAAGGAGGTTCTCACCAAATATTTGACGGTACATGGCCCCGTCCATCGTCCCTTTGATGCGGTGAAGTTGTCCTGTCCCCTTAGCAGAAAAACACCCCCAAAGCATAATGTTTCCACCTCCATGTTTGACGGTGGGGATGGTGTTCTTGGGGTCATAGGCAGCATTCCTCCTCCTCCAAACACGGCGAGTTGAATTGATGCCAAAGAGCTCGATTTTGGTCTCATCTGACCACAACACTTTCACCCAGTTCTCCTCTGAATCATTCAGATGTTCATTGGCAAGACGGGCCTGTATATGTGCTTTCTTGAGCAGGGGGACCTTGCGGGCGCTTCAGGATTTCAGTCCTTCACAGCGTAGTGTGTTACCAATTGTTTTCTTGGTGACTATGGTCCCAGCTGCCTTGAGATCATTGACAAGATCCTCCCGTGTAGTTCTGGGCTGATTCCTCACCGTTCTCATGATCATTGCAACTCCACGAGGTGAGATCTTGCATGGAGCCCCAGGCCGAGGGAGATTGACAGTTATTTTGTGTTTCTTCCATTTGCGAATAATCGCACCAACTGTTGTCACCTTCTCACCAAGCTGCTTGGCGATGGTCTTGTAGCCCATTCCAGCCTTGTGTAGGTCTACAATCTTGTCCCTGACATCCTTGGAGAGCTCTTTGGTCTTGGCCATGGTGGAGAGTTTGGAATCTGATTGATTGATTGCTTCTGTGGACAGGTGTCTTTTATACAGGTAACAAGCTGAGATTAGGAGCACTCCCTTTAAGAGTGTGCTCCTAATCTCAGCTCGTTATCTGTATAAAAGACACCTGGGAGCCAGAAATTTTTCTGATTGAGAGGGGGTCAAATACTTATTTCCCTCATTAAAATGCAAATCAATTTATAACATTTTTGACATGCGTTTTTCTGGATTTTGTTGTTGTTATTCTGTCTCTCACTGTTCAAATAAACCTACCATTAAAATTATAGACTGATCATTTCTTTGTTAGTGGGCAAACATACAAAATCAGCAGGGGATCAAATACTTTTTTCCCTCACTGTAAGTTCTGTCTGTCTCAATCTCTGTAAGCCGTTAACCACAGTTAGGTAAAACGAATCAATCAAAAATGTAAGGAAATCTCTACACTCTCTTCTGTTTGTCTGAGACTGGTGTTGAAGTTCCATTAACATGTGTGATTGTGTATTTCCTGTCCACAGTGTGTGAGGGCGTCATGGAGACAGTGGTTGGTGTTGCGGGGAGGATGGTATCTCTCCCCTGCAGGTATGACACTGGGACCCTGGTGTGCTGGGGGAGAGGAGCAGAGCCATCTCTGTTCGGCTGTGAGAACGCAGGCATCGCTACCAGTGGAGTAGAGGTGACCTACAGGACGTCTTACAGGTCACCAGGTCACCAGGTTACCAGGTCACCAGGTTACCAGGGGAGCTGCAGAGAAAAGACGTCTCTCTCACTATCAACAACGCCAGAGAGGGAGACTCTGGGTTCTCCCACTGCCGCGTGGAGCTACCAGGACTGTTCAACGATCAGACGCACACTGTTCGTTTAATTGTCCAACAAGGTGAGAATATACAACTGTAATCGTGAATATAAAAGTGTGGCTTCTGATTCATTGATGCATGTGAAATCATGAATTACTATTTTGTTACATTAAGAGCCATCGCTACAATGGAAAAAATATGTACTTTTTCCAGAAACAACAAGCCTATAAAGAGCATAATTATAATATTGAAAACGTCTGTAACGTCACCTTATTTGATGTGTTTTTAAAAACGAAAATCTGTTGTTGCCCTGTAGCACCTGTTGTCCCAACTGCGCCAGCTGAACCACTGCCCACCACAGACGTCCCTGGATCCCCTCTCACACCAGAGAGGAGCCGACAAGGTCTGTTTTGTCTGTCACTTTCTTTAATGTCACCTCATGTGTTTCCCCTTATACCGTTTGAAGCTTGAGAGTGGAAATAGAACAAATATATACTTTAATTTCTAGCACCTTTTTCTCCCAACTGCCCCAGCACACCCACTGTCCATCACAGAAACATCCGAGTCCCCTCACACCAGAGAGGAGCAGACAACACCACCACTATCATTATCACGATGAAGATGATAAACCTGTATTGCACATTAAGATCAGAAAAAAATAACAATACAGTCTGAGATATCGTGGATTTTATTTATTACTAGGTAAGCAAGGTCCGATATCCTTTGTTTTTCTGAACATTTCGAACATTTATGTCATTTAGCAGATGCTCTTATCCAGAGCAATTAGGGTCAAGTGCCTTGCTCAAGCGACAGATTTTTTTCACCTAATCAGCTCGGGGGTTCAAACCAGCGACCTTTCGGTTACTGTCCCAACGCTTTTAACCGCTAGGCTACCTGCCACGCTTTATGAGTGCACTACAGGCCCCGTAATAGGTCTTGTTAAGAGAATTAAGGCGCAGTAGTGGCTATAAAGTAGATCATATCCAAAATGTCCCAAATCTAAGGAAACATACAACCAAAATACTGTACATAAATGCCTTTTGTAAATGTTTTTTTATGTTGCAAAATGCAAATCTTATGCAAATACTTAAACATTTTCTATTTCAACTTTCTCTTCAATCACAATGCCTGAAACAAAAGCTATGACTATAACCCACAGCAGAACATGGCATCTCCATCCCTGGAAAGGTACATAGGACACAGTCAGAGTGGGCGCAATCATCTCCATCCCTGCTTTGATCCTAGCACTTCTTCTCAGTGAGTGGTGAAGCATTTTTAAACAGGCAGAAGAATTACCAATTTTTCCTTCAATTATTGTATGAATAATGTTACTTGTCTTTTTTCAATCGGGGCATTAGCTTAATCAGTGTGTTGTAACTGTCTACTCTTTGTTCAGGGGCTAATATTGGCAGCAATACATTTAGCTGCTTCAACAGTTTGTCTCTCAGAGTGGAAGTGAAAGAGGTGACTCACTATTTCTGCTTACTGTGCATTAAAAGTCAATTTTTTGTTATTAAATGTAAATAAATACTCCTCAAGAGAAGATTTGTCCCTGAGACTTGATTCTATACAAAGTGGTAGACTGCGACCTTCCACAAAATTGACAAGAGAAAACGGTTTTGGTTTTGAATTTCAATTCATGTTGAACTATGTGAACTTGCAAAAAAACAACTATTATACGCACAACATTATTTAGAAGTGAAACTAGCTGCGGCACGAAAACAGCGGAGAAGTTTAGCCTCAAGCGGTCAATGCTGTTGGTTGTTGCAGAAATCCCACTGACCATCTCTGCCTTTCTGATTGCATGGGAAACAACTGACAGCAGGTGGAAAGGAAGTCATGTGACTTGAGTGAAAAGACATACAAAGACACACATCTGACGCCCCGTTTATACCTGCCGATAATATGCTGTGTCCTGATCTTGTCCACATTCTCATATTTTTTTTTTTATCACTTTTTTGTATGATTTCGAGCATGGAATTAAATGAAGTATATTTTTGCATCCCAGCCTCATTTTTACTTTACATCACCCTATCATGGAGACTCGCTGCATTTAAGGCTGGTTTCTCCACTGTCTACTTTGATGTAAGCGATGCACGATGGCCCCATCTCTTTTAGCCTGGTTATCAACTTGATAGTTAATTAATAATTTACAATTGAAAGTCTCTCTGTGCTTCTTTCTCGCTCTCTCTGTCTCTCTTTTCCAGCAAGTGAATGCACTGTCCCAAAAGTCTTATGTATTGAGGGTCAGATTTTCACTCTGCCATGTAAATATAATGTAAAAAACTCATGGTGTATCAGCCATATGCTGAGGGAAAGGAGCCATACCAAACTCTGGTGGTTGTAACAATGAAATAATCTGAACTGATGGTACTGAAGTGACAAGTAGATCCTCAGTTAGGTATCAGTTATTGGGTGAGCTGAAGATGGGGGATGTCTTTATAACCACAGGAGTGGCTTTGGGACAAGTCTCTGAATGTCCTTGAATGGCCCAGCCAGAGCCCGGACTTGAACCCGATCGAACATCTCTGGCGAGACCTGAAAATAGCTGTGCAACGACGCTCCCCATCCAACCTGACAGAGCTTGAGAGGATCTGCAGAGAAGAATGGGAGAAACTCCTCAAATACAGGTGTGCCAAGCTTGTAGCGTCATACACAAGAAGACTTGAGGCTGTAATCGCTGCCAAAGGTGCTTCAACAAAATACTGAGAAAAGGGTCTGAATACTTATGTAAATGTGATATTTCACAATTGAATCCATTTTAAAATAAGGCTGTAACATAACAAAATGTGGGAAAAGGCAAGGGGTCAGAATACTTTCCGAATATAATATATAATATGCCATTTAGCTGACGCTTTTATCCAAAGCGACTTACAGTCATGTGTGCATACATTTTTACCTATGGGTGGTCCTGAGGATTGAACCCACTACCCTGGCGTTACAAGCGCCATGCTCTACCAATTGAGCTACAGAGGACCGAATGCACTGCATACTTGTTCAAGCTGTTAGTATTTTATTACTGTCGGATTTCAGCACCTGTCCCAACGACATCCCAGACATCTGCCAATGTCAGTCCATAGAAGCCTTACTTCTAGTGTTCGTATTGCTGTATTATTCTTACATGTGAAATATTTTTAATTTCTCACATGACCGCACATTCTATGGTGTATTCAGACATATCCACACAACATTACAGCAATTCAGAATCGGTAAGCATGCTTCTATACAGCAATTCCATCTGGGACTGTATTGAGATGTAGGAATCTGTGACGTGCCTGGAAGAAAACCGTCACTTTAAACCCACAGCATGCTGGAAATCTATATGGGAAACAGAGTCAGAGTGGAGCAATCCTTTTCATCCCTGCTCTGATAATTGCAGTTCTCAGTGAGTGGTATTATAAATATTTATATCAATATACACTGAGTGGACACAACATTAGGAACTCCGGCTCTTTCAATGACAGACTGACTAGGTGAATCCAGGTGAAAGCTAATTGATGTCACCTGTTAAATTCACTTCAATCAGTGTAGATGAAGGGGATGAGACAGGTTAAAGAAGGATTTTTATGCCTTGAGACAATTGAGACATGGAATGTGCATGTGTGCCAATCAGAGGGTGAATGGGCAAGACAAAAGGTTTAAGTGCCTTTGAACAGGGTATGGTAGAAGGTGCCAGACACACTGGTTTGAACTGTAATGCTGCTGGGTTTTTCCACTCTCAACAGTTTCCTGTGTGTATCAAGAATGGTCCACCACCCAAAGAACATCCAGCCAACAGCAGGCCAGTCGAAAACAGGTCATTGATGAAAGAGGACAAAGGAGGCTGAAACAAATTGTGCAGAGCAACAGACAATTAGTCAACTGACAGTCCAGTCCAACGCTGGTGCCGACGACCTTACAGAGTTCCACTTCTTTCGGCAAAAAACAAGAAACTGGAACTGGGGTGCAACTCAATATTAGGAGGGTGTTCTTAATGTTTTGTACACTCAGTGTATCTATTTTCTTATTCAATCAGTGTGGGACAGCTGAGTAGGATTCTGTAACTGTTAATAACTTGCAGACCTGAGTTCAAATGCTATTTGAAATAAAATCTCCAAGCAGCGTTTCAAGGTCCTAGCACAAGACCAGAAGAGAGCCCCTCTGTCTACACAATGGTTGGTCCCAGACCTTTGGTGCTAGGACCCGTAATCATTTCAAATACTAAAATCAAATCAAACTTCATTTGTCATGTTTCGTAAACAACATGTGAAGACTAACAGTGAAATGCTTACTTACGGCTCTTCCCAACAATGCAGAGAGATAGAAAATAGAGAAATAATAGAACAGTAAAACACTTAATAATAAAAGTAATAATAAATACACAATGAGTAATGAGAACCTGGCTATATACTCTGGGTACCAGTCCACGATCAGCTCCTTTGTCTTGTTGACGTTAAAGGACAGGTTGTTGTCCTGGCACCACATTGCCAGGTCTCTGACCTCCTCCCTATAGACTGTCTCATCGTCGTCTGTGATCAGGCCTACCACCGGCGTGTCGTTGGCAAACTTAATGAGGGTGTTGGAGTTGTGTACGGCCATGCAGTCGTGGGTGAACAGGGAGTACAGGAGGGGACTAAGCATGCACCCCTGAGGGGCCCCCGTGTTGAGGGTCAGCGTGGCGGATGTGTTGTTGCCTACCCTCACCACCTGGCCGCGGCCCGTCAGGAAGTCCAGGATCCAGTTGCAGAAGGAGGTGTTTAGTCCCAGGGTCCTTAGCTTAGTGATGAGCTTGAAGGGCTCTATGGTGTTGAATGTTGAGCTGTAGTCAATGAACAGCATGCTCACATAGGTGTTCCTCTTGTCCATGTGGGAAAGGGCAGTGTGGAGTGCAATAGAGATTGCGTCATCTGTGGATCTGTTGGTGTCTGGGATGATGGTGTTGATGGCTACAGAGTGCTACGGGGCGATAGTCATTTAGACAGGTTACCTTGGTCTCCTTGAAACATGTAGGTATTACAGACTGGGTCAGGGAGAGGTTGAAAATGTCAGTTAAGATACTTGCCAGCGGGTCAGCGCAAGCTCTGAGTATGCGTCCTGGTAATCCTTGTGAATGTTAACCTGTTTAAAGGTCTTACTCACATCGGCTACGGAGAGCGTGATCATACAGTCGTCCACGACAGCTGGTGCTCTCATGCATGGTTCATTGTTGCTTGCCTCAAAACAAGCATAGAAAGCATTTAGCTCATCTGGTAGGCTTGCTTCACTGGGAAGTTTGCGGCTGGGTTTCCCTTTGTAATCCATGATAGTTTGCAAGCCTTGCCACATCCGACGCACATCAGAGCCGGCATAGTAGGATTTGATCTTAGTCCTGTATTGACGCTTGCCTGTTTGATGGCTTGTTGGATGTTGTAGCGGGATTTCTTATAAGCGTCCCAATTAGTGTTCATCTCCTTGAACGCGGCAGTTGTAGCCTTTAGCTCAGTGCAGATGTTGCCTGTAATCCATGCTTTCTGGTTGGGTTATGTACATACGGTCAATGTGGGGACGACGTCGTCGATGCACTTGCAGTGCCTTCAGAAAGTATTCACACCTCTTGCCTTTTTCCACTTTTTGTTGTGTTACAGCCTGTATATAAAACTGATTAAATTGAGATTTTGTGTCACTGGCCTACACACAATACCCCATAATGTCAAAGTGGAATTATATTTTTAGATATTTTTACAAATTAATAAAAAATGAAAAGCTGAAATATCTTCAGTCAATAAGTATTCAACCCCTTTGTTAAGGCAAGTCTAAATAAGTTCAGGAGTAAACATTTGCTTAACAAGTCACATAATAAGTTGCATGGACTCGCTCTATGTGCCATAATAGTGTTCAACATGATTTTTGAATGACTACCTCATCTCTGTACCCCACACATACAATTATCTATAAGGTCCCTCAGTCGAGCAGTGAATTTCAAACACAGATTCAACCACAAAGACCAGGGAGGTTCTCCAATGCTTCGCAAAGAAGGGCACCTATTGGTAGATGGGTAAAAAAAAAAAAACAGACATTCAATATCCCTTTGAGCATGGTGAAGTTATTTATTACAGTTTGGATGTTGTATCAATACACCCAGTCACTACAAAGATACAGGCGTCCTTCCTAACTCAGTTGCCGGAGAGGAAGGAAACCTCTTAGGGCTTTCACAATGCGGCCAATGGTGACTTTAAAACAGTTACAGAGTTTAATGGCTGTGATAAGAAAAATGAGGATGGATCAACAACATTGTAGTTACTTCACAATACTAACCTAAATGACAAAGTGAAAAGAAGGAAGCCTGTACATAATAAAAATATTCCAAAACATGCATCCTGTTTGCAATAAGGTACTAAAGTAAAGTGCAAAAAATGTGGCAAAGAAATGAACTTTATGTCCTGAATACAAAGCGTTATGTTTGGGGCAAATCCAACACAACACATCACTGAGTACCACACTTCATATTTTCAAGCATTGTGGTGGCTGCATCATGTTATGGGTATGTTTGTCATTGGCAAGGACTGGGGAGTTTATTAGGATACAAAGAAACTGAATATAGTTAAGCACAGTCAAAATCCTAGAGGAAAGCCTGGTTCAGTCTGTTTTCCAACAGACACTGGGAAACAAATTCACCTTTCAGCAGGACAATAACCTAAAACACAAGTCCAAATATACACTGGAGTTGGTTACCAAGACGACATTGAATGTTCCTGAGTGACCTAATTACAGTTTTGACTTAAATGTACTTGAAAGTCTATGGCAAGACTTGAAAATGGCTGTTTAGCAATGATCCACAACCAACTTGAGAGTTCTTAAAGAATTTTAAAAAGAATATCTGCAATTATTGTACAATCCAGGTGTGCAAAGCTCTTAGAGACTTACCCAGAAAGTCTCACAGCTGTAATCACTGCCAAAGCTGATTCTAACATGTATTGACTCATGTGTGTAAATACCTATGTAAATGAGATATTTCTGTATTTCATTTTCAATCAATTTTGAACAATTCCTAAAAACATGTTTTCACTTGGTCATTATGGTGCATTGTGTGTGTATAGGTGTTTAAAAATATATATTTAATCAATTTTGAATTCAGGCTATAACACAACAAAATGTGGAATAAGTCAAGGGGTATTTTCTGAAGGCACTGTATTAATGAAGCCGTTGACTGATGTGGTAAACTCCTCAATGCCATTGGATGAATCCCAGAACATATTCCAGTCTGTGCTAGAGAAACAGTCCTGTAGCTTAACATCCGCTTCATTGGACCACTTCTGTATTGAGCGTGTCACTGGAACTTCCTGTTTGAGTTTTTGCATGTAAGCAGGAATCAGAAGGATAGAGTTATGGTCAGATTTGCCAAATGGAGGGCGAGGGAGAGCTTTGTATACGTTTCTGTGTGTGGAGGAAAGGTGATCTAGAGTTATTTTGCCTCTAGTTGCACAGGTGACATGTTGCTAGAAATTAGGTAAGACTGATTTCAGTTTCCCTGCATTAAAATCCCCGGCCACTAGGAACGCCGCCTCTGGATTAGCATTTTCTTGTTTGCATAATGGCCCTATACAGCTTGTTGAGTGCAAGTGCCAGCATCGGGGCGTTGTGGTGAATAGACAGCTATGAAAAATATAGATGAAAAATCTCTTGGTAAAAACAATGGTCTCCAGCTTATCATGAGGTATTCTAACTCAGGTGAGCAGAACCTTGAGACTTCCTTAATATTATATAATGTTAACAAAGAGACCTCCCCCCTTGAGCTTTTCCGACTCTGCCGTTCTGTCCTGCTGATGCATAGAAAAACCAGCTAGATTATTATTATTATTATTATTATTATTATTATTATTATTATTAATGTATATTATCCTTGTCCTTGTTCAGCCACGACTCCGAGAAACATAGGATATTACAGTTCTTCAAGTCCCGTCGATAGGATAGTCTCGAATGGAACTCGTCCTGTTTGTTCTCCAGTGATTGTACGTTCGCCAATAGATCGGAGGGTCGAGGCGGTTTATCTACTCGTCGGCTAAGTTTTGTCAGGGTGCCCGCACATCGGCCTCTCTTACGCCACCTTTTTTCTTTACCGAGTCTCAGGGATTAGGGCCTGGTCCGGGGTGAGCAGTGTGTCCTGCGTCTCTGACTCGTTGAAGTAGAAATCTTCATACAAATGGAGGTTAGTGATCGCTGTTCTGATGTCCAGAAGCTATTTTCGGTCATAAGAAACGATGGCGGAAATATTACGTACCAAAAAAATTACGAGCAGTTTAAATAAAAAATAAAACAATTGGTCAGGAGCCCGTAAAACGGCCGCTGTTCATTGCAGCGCCATTATCATACCAAGAATGGCTGTGCTTGATTGAGCTTGCCTGTTGCAATGAAACCAATAGAAACATCCTGCTCACCTGACACTCCAGGAAGGTTAAAGCAAAGTATTTGAAAGATTTCTAATAGTAATAATGACTGTTGAAACATTGTCTGCCCCACCTCACTCATTCTATGCACTGCGCATCTATAGGTCGGATGTCACGCCCTGACTCAGGGGACGCTTATATGTTGAGTCAGGGTGTGTATATTCCTTGTTGTGCTTTGTCTATGTGGGGTATTCTAGTATGTATATTTCTATGTTGGCCGGTGTGGTTCCCAATCAGAGGCAGCTGTCGCTCGTTGTCTCTGATTGGGGACCATACTTAAGCAGCCTATTGGCACTGTGTAGTTGTGGGATCTTGTTCCGTGTGAGGTTTGTTGTGTGTACCTTAGGACGTCACGTGTCGTTGGTTTATTGTTTTGTCGTTGTGTTTATTCGTTAAATAAACATGTATGCATATCACGCTGCGCCTTGGTCTGACCCGTCTGTAAACGAACGTGACATCGGAGGCTGTCCACGAATAGCCGTACCAGAGGAGAACCTGCCAGTTCCCCCAGCATCTGCAGCAGGAACCCCCCCAGGAACCCCCCCAGGAACCCCCCCAGTGGAAGAACCCATGTGAGAGGACTTAAGACACCTTGCAGATCTACAGAACTATGAAGCTCCTACAGTCATGTAGGGTGATCCAACCATATATAGGTGGTAATTGGGAACATATACAACGTGTGGACCTTTCTGTTATTTTTATATACTATATTAGCCCAGCTAAAAAAATTTTGGATGTGCGTATGACCACACACTTTTCGTCCAAACATATGGTCAAGTATTATTTCAGTCAATGATTTATTAAATATTGAGAGAACTGAAAAAAAAATTGCATAATATTTTTTACACGTGGTGACAATGCTATTATAGGACCACTCATTATGAAGTTTGATGGTTTGATAAAGACAAGATATCTACAAAAGGCATTTATGCACTAATGAATCGCTTTGAGGTTGCACTCATACAGTTGAAGTCTGAAGTTTACATACACCTTAGCCAAATACATTTAAACTCAGTTTAAGTGAAATAATCTGTCTGTAAATAATTGTTGGAAAAATTACTTGTGTCATGCACAAGTAGATGTCCTAACCGACTTTCCAAAACTATAGTTTGTTAACAAGACATTTGTGGAGTGGTTGAAAAACCTAAGTGTATGTAAACTTCTGACTTCAACTGTACTTGCATGTTTTCTTGTAATGAGCTGTAAATGAAAATATAAATAAATGCCAGCAAAGAGAAAGTTTGTCCCGAGTTTTGATTCTACACTACATTACATTTAATGCGACCTTTCACAGAACTGACAAGAGAAAATGGTTTTGGTTTTCATTTATTTTCAATTAATGCTGAACTATGTGAACTTGCCTAAAACATGTGCAAGTCTGTGTGCATTATTTGGAAGTGTAACCGAGGGAAAAACAGAACAACACCGACCCTCTGCATTTCTGACCGCAGAGGAAATAGCTATCAGTAGATGTGAAGGAGAGGAAGTCATGTGGCCAGGCGGATTTATTTGAGTTCATTAAAGACCTGACACATGAGAGAGAGAAAGCTCAGAATACTTTAGATGCCGTTGGGGTTTTTCTGTGTGAAAGTAACAACCCAATCATGGCAACTCGCAGCATTTCAGGCTGGTTTCTCCTCTGTCTACTTTCAGGTAAGTGATGCTCGATAGTAAATAAGTAAATGAATAGGATTTACAAAAAAAATATTTTTTTCAGTTCTACTCAGTACTTCCTTTTCTCTCATTTTTTTAGCCAGTGAATGCAGTCACGTCATTGGTATTGAGGGTCAGAATATCACTCTGCCATTTAAATATGATGCCAAATCTCATGGTCTACAATACATATGCTGGGGGAAAGGAAACATACCGAGTACTGGTGGTTGTAACAATGAAATCATCTCAACTGATGGACCTGAAGTGACAAGTAGATCCTCAGTCAGGTATCAGTTGTTGGGTGAGCTGAAGACGGGGGATGTCTCTCTAACCATCTCCAATACCACCGAGAAAGACTCTGGAATTTATGGATGTCGAGTGCAATACCCTGGATGGTTCAATGATGAGAAATATAACGTCAGGTTGACCATTGAGAAAGGTAAAGAATACACAACATGCCAGGATATAGCTTGATGCTTTACTGATGAGAATTGTGAGCCTACTAAGGAATAGTATGATTTCACAGCATGTATATACTTGTTCAAGCAGTTAGTATTCTATTGCTGTCTGATTTCAGCACCTGTCCCAACGACATTCCAGACATCTGCCAATGTGACCATAACCCCACAGATCATTGACAACCACACACACGGTATGGTACACAGCATACAGAATAACATGGTGTCAGTCCATAGAAGTCTTATTTTCATATAAAAAAAAAAAAAATTTTGCAGTATTATTCTTACGTGTGAAAACATACTTTTACTTCCTCACTGTGTAGGTCATGTGACCACAATATCTACTGAGTATTCGTACACATCCACGCTACATTACAGCAAATCAGAATCAGTAAGCGTGACAAACACACCGCAATTCCCGCAAAAATATGATACACTGCTGTGAGATGCCGTTTTAACTGATGTGAATCTGTGATGTCTACAGGAGACGGGAGGTCACAAGCTGGCTGTGATCCTGGTGTCCATTCTGCTGGTTCTGACAGGTGTGGGGATTGTGTGTGTACTTGTCACGAGTAAGTACACACCATCTGTACCTCTGCCTGTATAATAAGAACTAATTCTCTCGATTAACATCTCGCTGATGTAATTGCAGGAAAGCGATGGGAAAAAATTGCCACGGTACTCCAAATGTAAGTAGGATACGTCATGACTACTATACCTCTTCCAACTGACAGAGTAGATGAATCGCCACAGTATGCCAAGAGAATGACTGAGCCACTGTGCGATATCTCTCGATGGGACATGCAGGCCTAATTAGCAAAACTGTTAGGTGTATGGTAACTGTCTGTGAGGTAATACTGTAATTATGACTAATGAGACCCAAGACCACAATAGATTGAGGAAGCGACCCAAGACCACAACACACTGAGGAAGTGAAGCAATCGTGAGGTTTTAGTGGCTGGAATAGTGGAGAACAAATGGAGGGTTACTCAGTAGCAGTGCAAATAACACGGTACAGCTACATGGACACTCAATCATTATGGTACTTTTTAATGGTAAGTTTACAAACATATATTATGATAAATAGAATTGAAACTTGTATCTCATTATGGTAAATGGTGAAATAAGTATAGCCAGTTATAATTGTAATAGCTTAGCAGATAATAAGAAAAGACGATCAGTATTTACCTGCTAAAAGGTAGATTATTTTAAGTATGTTAGTGGACCATAAACAGATTTGGCTCATTAATCTATACGGTCCAAATAATGATGATCCACACTTCTCTTAAATTATTTATAATGATTTATCAAGCCTACAAGCAATACAAGACTCTATTATTATGGTGGGAGATTATAATATGGTTTTAAATACCTCAATGGAACGTAAAGGAAATCACACTACAAACTATCACCCTCATGCACTTAAGGAAATCACGAATATCATGGATATGTTGGAACTAGCGGATATATGGAGGTTTAAATATCCTGACCTAGTGAGATATACCTGGCAGAGACTCAAACAAGCTGGTCGTCTTGACTACTTTCTTAAGTCATTCTCGCTGGCACCAAAAGTTTAAAAAGTGTTGATAGAGGTCAGAATGCGGTCAGACCATCAAATAATTGGCATATATATTACTCTTAATCAACTCCTATTGGATGACAACTTGTTTATAACCAGGACAGAATAATTTATAACTGACTTTTTCCGACTTATTGTATGGGACACTTTTAAATGTTCCTTTAGAGGCCATGCAATTCAATACCCATCTTTAAAACAAAAGCAATTTAGGTCAAAAGAGTTCATACTAACAAAGGAAATAGAAGGTCTAACAGAACAGATAGATAGCAATAAAAACTGTACCACATAGGCACAGAATAAGTTAGAGGAAAAACAAAAAGAAATGGAGGAACTTACTCAAGAAAGATCAAGTGTAATATATGATAAAAAATAAAGTGAACTGGATGGAATATGGGGAAAAATGCACCAAATTATTTATTTATCTTCAACATAGAAATACTACCAAAAATAATTTACTGAAACTTACAAATGAGTCACCCATGATTCAGCAAACTATATTTTGAAAGAGGAAGCAAAGTACTTTAAGCATATGTTTTCGTTTCAGTGTCCATCTCAACTAACCGAAGTTAATTGTAAGGAATTATTTTCTATTAATAAAGTAAAATTAACAGCTGTGCAGAAAGACTCATGTGAAGACCAAATTACAGAGGAGGAACTTCTTGATGCAATTAAAGCCTTTAAGTCCGGGAAAACTCCAGGGCTGGATGGCATACCAGTTGAGGTATATCAAACCTTTTCTGATGTGCTCAGAGGACCGTTATTAGCATGTTTTAACCACTCCTATAAAAATTCTAGATGATCAGATACTCAACAAGAAGGTCTGATGTCCTTATTACTGAAACAGGACCGAAGTGGTGAATATAAAGATCCAGTCCATATCACTGTTTTAAAACAAGCCATAGAAAGTTGGTTGCAATTTCAGTTTAATCCACCAGAAAAGTCAGAACAAATATTACAACGCATTTTATAGTTAAACTCAAATTTACTAATTGATTAAAAAAACATTATTTTTGGAAAGAATGTTTAAAAACGGTATAGTCTATCATAAATAGGAATGGTGGAGTTCTGTCACATTTGCAGCTAACAAAAATATATGGAAATGTCTGCTCTACCCAAAATTACAACCAACTAATTGCAGTATTACCGCATAAATGGAAGAGGCAAGTGGAAGGGGGAGAAAGTAAGGAACTTGTCTGTTGGCCCTGCATTAAAGACCAAACTTTGGTTAAAGAAAATTGTGATTCATAAAAAAGTTGGGAAGAGATTTTCGATGTACTGATTCCATGGCACATGGTTTATGAACTGATACACAAAACCACGCCGGATTCAAAACTTAGAGTTTTTCAATTTAAATTATTATACAGAATTCTTGCAACCAATATAATGGTAAATGTATGGGGGATACAACCATCCCAGCTCTGCAGATTTTGCTTGTTTTTGGTCGCAGGTTCAGGAATGGCTTAAGAATTTGTTCTTAACTGACTTGCCTAGTTAAAAAAAGGTTATATATCAAAAATAAAATAAATGATTTGCAACATTTACCTGGAGCTTTGCAAATAGCACTGCTGGGTGATTTGAAAAGTCATAGTCAATGGATCAATAATATAATAATACTCTTAGCAAAAATGTTTATCTTTAATTTATAATCTGTAGAAACTATAAGAATAGAAAGGTTCCGAACATTTGTGAAACATCACAGCACAGTTGAAAAACATATGGCCAATACAAATAGAAACTGGATGGTGTTCAGAGATAGATGGGAGGGGTTGAGGGTAGCTGAAGGATGGGACTAAAAACAAACAGAAGATAACTATTATAAAATATACTGTGTCCATAAAATGTATATAGTATGTATAAACTGGAAGTAGAAGCCTAAGTGTTGTTGTCCATTAGTTCTTGAAATGTTCCATATTGACTGACCTTCATGTCTTAAAGTAATGATGGACTGTCATTTCTCTTTGCTTATTTGAGCTGTTCTTGCCATAATATGGACTTGGTCTTTTACCAAATAGGACTATCTTCTGTATACCACCCCTACCTTGTCACAACACAACTGATTGGCTCAAACGCATTAAGAAGGAAATAAATTCCACAAATTAACTTTTAACAAGGCACACCTGTTAATTGAAATGCATTCCAGGTGACTACCTCATGAAGCTGGTTGAGAGAATGCCAAGAGTGTGCAAAGCTGTCATCAAGGCAAACGGTGGCTACTTTGAAGAATCTCAAATCTCAAATATATTTTTATTTGTTTAACACTTTTTTGTTTACTACATGATTCCATATGTGTTATTTCATAGTTTTGATGTCTTCACTATTATTCTACAATGTAGTAAACTTGAATGAGTAGGTGTGTCCAAACCTTTGACTGGTACTGTATATATTTACAAAAATATATATATGGGGGATTGGAAATGATGCAGACAATTACATTGATGGATCTGCCCCCTAAAAATCTAATTAAAAACAATAGGGCTTCTACATGCTGTGTGCTGTCGGTGTCGTTAAGAAATCTGACTTGAGATTATGTGACTGGCCAATATGGCATCGCTTTGCCTTTTAGAATCTAATACACAACACGCGTACAGTATTCTCAATACCGTACAAAACAAGTAGGCCTAAATTATCCTAAATAAATCAAATCAATACAAACTTTATTTGCAATGTCAGCTTTTACACCAACACGCCAAAACTTTTCTCAGCATAAATTCAACTGGATTGGAAAAAACCACTAGAGTGAAACTAAGCAATATAATGCAGAAGGAGAATACAGTATGTCAAGCTACAGCATGCGTGTCTCTCTTAGCTTTGCATTTATTGGTCTTTCCTTTATCAGACCACAGCACTCTGGCGGCTCGGTCCTGTACATAAACTCAGTGTCCAGCTTGGCACTGCACACTCGAGAGACGGCCGTAGAGAACGTCTATCAAATAGAGGACAACGAGAGAGAGAACTATGAAGAAATCTCCTGACGAAGCATGGACACTTCACCACCACGCTCATGCTGTTGACACTGTGCAGTGTGCATAGTGTAGTAGCTCTGTGTTACAAGGCTGAGGCTGACTTATAGTCTAACGATTCAGTTGGACAAGACAAACGTTACTACAGAATCAGTAGTGTTCTGCTGATAAGTGAAGCAACACAGTTGATTTGTTATTGAAAGGTTTGTTTGATAAAAAGGGCTTACTAATATGTCTCCCTGTGTTTATTCAGCACTAACAATGTATGTTTCAATTGATTACGATGACTGGATTATTTTTGATGTAATAGCCTAAAAGCGACAAAAAAAATATCATCAGCTTTAATGCCTGATGCAATGAAAAGCAGTAACTTTGCAGAAAGTGAGATATCGCTTCCTGAATGAGCTGTTTCTATCCTCGTCACCATGACATTTAGCTACACCCATCTGCAACATCCCCCAGGCATACAAAGGCAGCTAAGTTGAAAAGTCTCACATAATCACAGCATTATTCAGAAATGGTGTTCTTTACCCAACTTTGCGGTGTACTGTCTCGTTCAAACCCAACCTGTTGCATGACAATAAAAACTCTAACTTGAAACTCTAATGTGTCTAATTATTCATTGGCTACACGTTGTTGTTCCACTAATACATTGTTATGAAGTACTAAAAGCCTAACAACATCAATTTAAGGATTTTGGGCACTGGCCAGTTGAGCCAGTACTAGCCTTGGGCTACGGGCTAGCTTTTTAAAATGTACACACTGTGTACCCTGGGAGATGAGCCTCCTAACTAATCAATGCAGTTTGTTTACGCTGGAAAATGCAGATGAAAATTACATCAACAATGGGCCTTTTCTCTGCTCCCAGCCCTGCCATGGGAGGAGGTTAGCAGAGGGGTCACAGCGGCTCTGGCTGTCCTGCCTGGAGATGTCACAAGCAGTGGCCCCCCGAGAACACAGCTGCCCATTCAGATGTCCTGTCTCTGCGCCACCCTGCCCGCGCCCAGCACACACCCTCCACTCCTACACACTGGATATACAGGATGGCTGCTAGTTCTGGACCGTCTTTTCTGCGTTGGATCCTCGTCCTCCTAACGGTTTCAGGCAAGGAAACGTTATCTAAAACAGCACAAATAATTGGAGTTTAGGCTGTTGAATGATTGGGTACATGGGTGTAGTTTCAGTTGGACGCCCCGCCCTATAATCTGACTAACACCACAGAAAGGATAAAACAGCCTCACTCTTTGTGTGTCCTTTGTTAACCACTAGAGTGACACAGCTCTCCAATGGCTTTGTTCTAGACAGGTTGGCAGCTTTGGCCTTGGCTGAAGGTGCACGGTCTGAAGCTAAATTGAGTAGGCCTAACTGTTCAACGTTAGACATGCCAGTTTTCATACAATAATGTGTTTATACTTTGAGTTATTTGGCATGGCTGTGTATTCGTTTTTCCCACCTACATAGGCCAACTGTTTAGAAGACTACCATACTTTTACTTTAATTATAGCAACCGCATTGAGGGGCATGGCAAGCTACAAAATATAACGTTAGCTCTTCGATCAAAACTTGAGGCAAAATTTAGAAAGGTACGTAGTCGAAATGGATGTTGTTAACATGTGTATGGAACTCGGGAATTCGGAAATAGCTTTGTCATACCTGCGTTTCTTTCCCCTGCTCAACAGCCAGGTGTTCGGTGTCAGCGTTCAAGGTGATGGAAGGTGCTACTGCGACATTGTCCTGTCAATATTCAGTGAGCCGTTTGGGTTTGAGCCGCGTGTGCTGGGGACGAGAATGTGGCACGTTCTGGTGCAACAACATCCTCGCGCAGACAGACAAACATGGCGTCATCTCCAAGGCGTCGGACAGGTACAGACTGACAGGTGATGTCCTCGCGGGAGAAATGGATTTGGGAATTCTCGATGTCAAGCGGACAGACAGTGGCCCATACTGCTGCAGAGTGGCCATAGATGGCATTTTCAACGACAAAAAAATCATTCAAAACTTAAGGGTCATGAAAGGTAATTTGTGGCAAGATATAATTTATTTTCACTACTTTACACTCTTGGGCAACCATGGGAATCGATGAACTAGTCTTTATAGCATTATGGTCCACAAAAACACGCAGGCCCTATTTTCTGTATAGCACGTAATGAACTCAGAACAGGCCTATAATGCAATTCACTCTCCCAAAATGTATATTTTGAATTTGTGAATTGTTTTCTTAGCTCCAGTGACCGTTTTGACAACTAGCACCGTTGTACATGTCACCGACGCCCCTCCTGCCACAGGTGAGTAGGCATATTATAAAGAAAGAGGTGAACTCATGGGATCCTGATGTGTGTGAGATGCATATTTCCTATCAAAGATGATATTGATATAAAATAAATATAATTTCAGCATTAATCTGGTGGACCCTAGAGGTACCTAGGCCTCCTAGACTCTTGGGTTGAGTTGAAGGTCATGATGATGATGATTCATGTGTGGTTATAAATAGAGAAATCCTACCGAGATGGGAATGAAAGTGACCTATTTCAGCATGTACCCTTCATTCACACATCAGTGCTATGACATCAATGATCAAACTCCCTGGAACTCGCCTCACAAAGTTCCAGGATGTAACACTAATCAAATGGAGAAAATTGTGCCTTACAAACTTTCACTTGTAATCAGAGGGTATATTCATTACAAAACCACACGACATCGCAAACTACTTTAATTAATATTTTACAGGCAAAGTTGAGGAATGCCATGAGTCCGACTGATGGCTCCATGTCATATACCCTTATAAAAGGCTGTATCATGAAGGAGAGGCATGTTGGAATTTCACCAAGTAGAAAGGGAAGAGGTTGAAAGGATGCTGTTGTCTCTTTCGGATGACAAGTCACCTGGTACAGATCATCTTGACGCCAAATTGCTTAGAGTTACAGCTAACCAAATACAGTGCTATGAAAAAGTATTTGCCCCCTTTCTAATTTTCTCTACTTTTGCATGTTTGTGATACTGAATGTTATCAGATCTTCAACCAAAACCTAATATTAGATAAAGGGAACATAAGTGAACAAATAACACAACAATTGCATATTTATTTCATAAACAAAGTTATGGAACACCCAATTCCCCTGTGTGAAAAAGTAATTGCCCCCTTACACTCAAAACTGGTTGTACCACCTTTAGCTGCAATGACTCCAACCAAATGCTTCCTGTAGTTGTTGATCAGTCTCTCACGACGACATGGTTCCAGTAATGCCTGGCGAAAACCAAACTCTGCATTCCACAGTAAGAACATCATACCAAAGGTCAAGCATGGTGGTGGTGTGATGGTTTGGGGATGCTTTGCTGCCTCAGGACCTGCACGACTTGCCTTAATAGAAGGAACCATGAATTCTGCTCTGTATCAGAGAATTCTACAGGAGAATGTCAGACCATCCGTCTGTGAGCTGAAGCTGAAGCGCAGCTGGGTCATGCAGCAAGACAATGATCCAAAACACACAATCAAGTCTACATGAAAATTGCTAAAAAGCAACAAATTGGAAGTTTTGGAATGGCCTAGTCAATGTCCAGACCTAATCCCAATTGAGATGATGTGGCAGGACTTGAAACTAGCAGTTCATGCTTGAAAACCCACACGTCACTGAGTTAAAGCAGTTCTGCATGGAAGAGTGGGCCAACATTTCTCCACAGCGACGTGAGAGACTGATCAACAACTACAGGAAGCATTTGGTTGGAGTCATTGCAGCTAAAGGTGGTACAACCAGTTTTGAGTGTAAGGGGGCAATTACTTTTTCACATAGGGGAATTGGGTGTTGCATAACTTTGTTTATGAAATAAATACGTAATTGTTGTGTTATTTGTTCACTTATGTTCCCTTTATCTAATATTAGGTTTTAGTTGAAGATCTGATAACATTCAGTATCACAAATATGCAAAAGTAGAGAAAATTAGAAAGGGGGCGAATACTTTTTCATAGCACTGTCTCTAGCCCAATCTGCTTGATGTATGGGGTGTGCCCAGAAGTCTGGAAAGAGTCAAAGGTTATTCCACTACCAAAGGATAAAAAATCTGCATTCACTGGTCCTAATAGTTGTCTTATAAGCTTGCTGCCTGTGTTAAGTAAATTATTGGAAATAGTAGTATCTGTACAAATCAAGGATTATTTCTCATGTAATGGTCTGATAACGGGTTTCCAGCATGCAGACGAAGAAGGACGTTCTACAATTACAGCCTTAGCACAAATGACAGATGATTGGTTGAAGAGTATTATTATGTGATATTAAGAGTATGGATGACAGGAAGTTAGTTGGTGCGGTGTTGCTAGATTTCAGTGCTGCTTTTGATGTAATTGATCATGAACGGTTACTAGGTAAACTCTGCAGCTCTATCCTGGATGGAAAGCTATCTATCCAGGAGAAGGCAAAAAGTGTTATTTTAATGGTAGCTTTTCAAACAGTAAAGATATACACTGTGGTGTTCCTCAAGGAAGCTGCCTAGGCCCACTTCTCTACTCTATCTTTACTAGTGATTTACCTTCAGTAATGAACAAAGCAAGAGTGGTAATAATGTATGCGGATGAATCTACAATGTATAGCGCAGCATCAAAATGTAATGAGTTAACAGATGTACTGAGTAGTGAACTAAGAATGGCGTCTGAGTGGGTTGATATGAAGAAATTGTATTGTATTTGGTTCAAGATATATGCCTGCTGATGATCCCCAATTGAATTTGTTGATGAATAGAACGCATGTAGAGCAAGTGAAAAAAAAATGAAACAACTAGGCGTCATGTTGGACGGAGCTTTATCATGGTCAGAACACAGAGATAATATTGTTATTAAGATGGGTAAGGGAATTGCTGTTACAAGAAAATGTTCAGAGTATATAGCATCTAGCACTCTGAATCAGGTGATTCAATCTGTGGTACTATCACACCTAGAGTGCTGTCCAGTTATATGGTCATCTGGAGCAAAGAAATACATAATAAAGCTAAAAATCGCTCAAAACAGGGCTGCCAGATTAGCTCTTCATTGTTCTATCTGTACGAATATTTTCCAAATGCATCAGAATCTCTCATGGCTTCATGTTGATAACAGATTACTATCCAGTCTTCTGATTTTCTTTAGGTTATATATATATATATTTTAAACCACTGTATTTTTCAGACCAGTTAGTACATACAGGCAACACGCATAACCACCAAACAAGACAGGTAAATTCAGGGCATCTAAGACAACCCAAGCCAAGGACAAATCGCCTTAAATCTACAGTTTTATATAGAGCCATAGCTGAATGGAACTCTTTACCAATCCATATTTCTCAGGCAAAAAGTAAATCCACCTTCAAGAAAAGAAACATCTAATGCAATAGACCATATGACTGGACAGGAAATAGAAAGCATCAACTGAATGTTAAATGTGTTACCTGTCAGGTATTTTAATTGTCTGTATTGTCTACTTGTTAAATGTTTGTAAAGTCTTCATTTGTAATTGTTTGTAATGTCTTATTAATTGGTGTTGAACCCCAGGAAGATTCGCTAACGTTACGGCGCTAGCTAATGGGGATCCTAATAAAAATTCACAAATTCACTTTCAAAATGAGGACACCCCTCT